CGCCTAAGTTCTTTCTTCTTAACAGTGATCGTTATTTGTTTTAATTAATCAAACCAAGCTTATATGAGTAACTTGAATCCTAGCTTTAAAGACTTTGGTGTTATAATCCTCAGTACGGATTCCGCTTGGACTCATTTTGGTGGAAGGAGGTAAAGATAGAAAAAAATTCACCAACTTGTTCTTAAGAGATAAATGAACCTTTTTAGAGGAGACGATAGAGATAGGGAGACACTACAGAAAGGACAAAGTTGTAATCTTTTACAGAAAAAAAAATAGCTTCAAGACTTGGCTGTAAAAATATTTACAAATGACAGTAGGGCAGTGGCCCAAAGACAATAAACAAACGATTTACAGCACCTTTATTGTTCCCAAAATAGAATCCTTAGCACTGTTGGGGATAATACGAGGTCTCGCATATGAACCAGCTATCTAAAAGACATTGTTGAGAGACATGGGATTAAACCTATCACAGGACGAAATCACATGTTTCCGTATTTCTGAAACGTGGCGGAAACATGCAATTCCATGTTTCCGTTATGTTTAACATGCACAAAAAGTGGTCAGGTTCCGTTGTATATGCAGCAACGGAAACGCGAGAAAACGTCACGAAACCGGTAACGGAAACGCAGGTTATCCGTCGTGTTTCCAGAACGGTTTAACATGTTTCTGCCACGTTTCCCTTTACGGATTCTTGCAATTTCGTCCTGGGTATGTGTCAAAAGCAATGGGAAGCGTAAAAAATGGAGCTGCAATTCCTTATATGTAGTGCTTATAGTCGTTATATGTCGCAAAATGATCATCATTAGCTGTTTTAGAAATATTTTAATGAAATGTTTTTAATGTGTGATTTTTAACAAACTTGCGAGGTCAAATAGAAAGGAAGATTACCCTCCATTTTTAACTCGCACATTCCTTGTATTCATTGTAGGGATTCTGATGAGACACAAGCAAATTAGGCTTCATTATTTTTCACGGTAAGTGTCTCTGAGAAGTAGGTGTAAAATTGGTCATAAAACCAACGCGATCTACAACGCACAAAAGATGTCATCAATTAGCTTTTTGAAGGTTGAAAATGGAGGAGATTCTGATGGCTATCATTAAGGGATAGAGGTTGATATTTCTAGCGATTGAACGTAATTATAATCATTAGTGCTTAGGTCAAATTCTCATTGTCGATTGTCGATTTATCATCATTACACAAAAGTGTTCCTCGGAAATGTCTCAAACTTTCTTAATTGGTGCTTTCTGTTTCTGCATCAAACTCTTTCTTTATTGTATTTCATGAATAGCACACTCTTAATGTCATCATTCTGAGGAAGCTCTCTTTACAACTTATAAATGAACTGATTTCTGTCTCTACGGTGAGTCAAATTTTCTCCCAACTGTTTGAGAAAGTCAAGGTATTCTTAAGATTAAGGCAGTTTCTTGTCTTATTTACCAAACCATTTATACTAGTAATCTTTTGTTTTGAGAAAGTTAGCGCGCGGATATTTCATCCAGTCCCATAAACTTACGAATGGATTTGCCGTACTTTAATTTGTCTTTAAAATAGAGTCATCGGCATCAGAACTTATGTAAGAACGTGGAAATAGACCTGATAATAAAAATAAAACTATTAATCCTTTACACCCTAACATCAATATGCATACTCTCCATACTATTCTCTATACATTTTCAAAAGTGCTGACAAGGAGAATGTGTTTAACAATCCAGAGCTTCTTTAATGGGTTATCATTCCCTTTCATCTCGTGACCTTAATGCCGTTTAGGAAGTTGGTGGGCTACTAACAGGAAAGCATAATAAACAGGACTTATAATGCATAACCTGCTGTGGAAGGAGGCTGTTATCCGTTTTAAAAATGCGTGAGAATACCTCTTCGTAAGGTTTATCGTATAATTTTATCTTAACCGCGCATACAGGCGTTCGATGGTCCAAAGTGAGCAAATGAAGTAAAAATTTTCATCCCTTTCTTAGATCAAAAATAAAGAATGAGATTCAATTTGACGAAAAAAAACAAGGCCAGCGGAAAAAGCCAGCACAAGAGTTTCATTTTTTAATCTTTGTTACTTTGCATGGAAGAAAAACGAACTCGTTTTCTAGAGTACCAGGTAGTGACATTTCAAAAGCTAATCTCCAATGCTACCCCGGGAACTAAAAAACATTCAAACAAATTATCAGTCAACGTGCGATATGAAATTTAATGGAAGGGTTATAAAATAAATAAGCAACATCTGATTTACTGGTATATCTGCTGATAATACCTCTGGCTGAGAGATTGTCCTAAAAATTTCATATTTTCCCTCGAGGCTTCGCTTCTCGACCAAATATTCATTTTCCGGACAATATTTCAGCCGCCTCTTCTAAAGGGGTTTATTTCCTGCATATTCTTCACTGGTTTAGCCGGGGCATATTCCATCATCATGTGATACGTTTCGAGCAATTGTGGGCAACCAAAAACATTTGATGGATCATATTCTGAGACCTAGTAGAAAGCGTCAAAAGCATTGATTTAAAATATCCGCGCAATTGCTTTTCTTTCGAATAAATTCAAAAATCCTCATGTGCTGCACGACGTTTTCACATCCGTTGCTTCCTTCACTGGATTCGCTTAACTGGTGCGCATTTATCGCCTTCATCACATAAAGGCCATCATCATAAAAAACATCAAG